ATAAAGGCTGGGGAGAGCAGCTCTGCTGTGCAGCTCAAGACACAGCAGGCTTTGTCCCAGTTTTACGCTGTCCCTTTGGTGACAGCGCTGCTGCTTTTGGCTGCAGGATCACTAGGAAGGGGATCTCCCCAGCCAGCTGCACTGCTTCTCTGGCAGGGATTTTGGTAAACAGGGCTGGTTGTACAACCGTGTCCAAGGGCAGATCATTTCAGAGCATCTCCCAGCGCTGGAGCAAGCTGCTTCCTGACTGTTGGCATTATAGAGAAGCCCAGAGGGTTGGCCCATCTAAATTCATTTGGATTCCTTGGTCGGTTTGACCCTGGCAGCTCAGGAAATTGATAGTTTACTTCTGGGGATTTGGCAGGAGCAAAATGAAAGGCAGCATCTAGGTGTTGGCAAGGGGCTGTGTGAGAGCCATGGCTGGCAATTAGGAGAGCAAGTTGTTTGCCTGCAGGCTGCTGCGTGAGGAGATGAGTCCTGTTTCACCATTTAATCTTGGGACCTGCTGAAGGGGCTGGAGATGAGTGTCTGGGGGATGAAATATGCATCTGTCTTTTGCCCAGAGAGCCTTGTGCTTCTGATGTGGAGGTCTGGCTGGGAGAACAGCAAAGGGGAGTGCATCTACCTGATCGTGAAGCACATCTGCTGTGGGAGAGCCCTTCCCTGCACCCTTCTCATCTGTGCTGACCCTTGGACCACCAGATGAGAGATTTTAGCCTTAGGAAAGGGTGGTTTTAATGTTGTACTTTCTCTTCCTGCATTTTTTGCCTCCCTGTTCTCTCCCTTTCCCGATCCATCTTTTCATTGCCTGCATCCTCGCTCAGCATTCAGCCCCTCGCACCCAACCCCTTCTCCTTTCCACCTCCTTTCTCTAGAAGAGGAAGCTGTGAAGCTGCTGTAGGGAGCACTGTCCCAGGCAGTGGCTGTTGGGGCTCTGTTGCTGCTGAGAGGTTTGGGTCCAGGTCCCAGATCTGTGCACAGCCTCCGACTCTCAGTAGACGTGGGCGTAGCAAGTGAGTTAGGTGCTCCAGAGAATGGCAAGGACCCCGCCAAGTGGCACTAGAGCAGGGGGAGCTTGGAGAGCACAGCAGAGGAGGCATGAGTGGTTTCAAAAAAAAAAGGGAATAGCATTGAGGCTTGGCTCCCTTCTGCACCTCCCCAAAAGGACCCTACAGCCCCGCTTCACCATCAGCACAGAAACTTGGATGCTATTAGGCAGTTCATTAGTAAAACCTTTGAGCAGTTCCCACTGCTGTTGAGTACCCATTTATGCCTCTTGAGGGGAGAGTAGAATATAGGAAAAGCACAAAAACAATCTGAGAGTCCTTGATCTCTTTTTGGTCTGAGAGGTCATGGGCTGAGGTTGGAGGAGCAGCTGGGAGGGGGAAGAGGGGCCAGGCAGGGACGCCAGGCATGAAAGCAACACCGTGATTATCTGCCAAAGTCTTGAGTGGAAAAACATAACCTGACTTGAACTGTCTCTTCTCAAAAGCTCCCGAGGGGTGTTTTAGGGTTATAAACACCTACTCACCGACCCGCTTTGTGCACGTTTCGAGCCAGGTATTCCCACAGCAGCGGGAAAGCCGGCAATACCTGCACAGATGTCCCCAACAGCTACAGCTGGGCTGTGGTGAACCCCCCCTGCTGCTACAGTTTATTAGCACTGTAGGGTCTGTCCCCTTCTCCTCGCTTGTGTATACAGTCAGGTGTTAAAGGACACTGACATCACTTAATTAATGGCTTAATTGAATCTCACAAAGGAATCGAAATTGGCTGCCTGACTCTTGTCACTGAGATGCTCATGTAAGAAATAGTAAATCACTAATTCAGCAGATCAAGCTGCAGCCCTTGGTAGAAAGTCCTTGTTGCTGGGGACAGGGAAGTAATTCCTCTTTGCAGAATAAAATACTATTAGGGAGAAGGCCGGGGGCTATTTTTCCAAGCCACGAGGTGCCATCCGTGTCTGAGGGAAGCGTAACTGAGTTAGTCTCTCACTCCCCATGGTGGTATAACACTCATTAAGGGGTAAACAGACCTGAAGCAGCATTTTATCTGTAAATCTGTTTTGTGTTTCACCCCCTGTGCGATGGAGAAAGGGCCGGGTGGTATTTTAAAATGGAGGGCAAAACCCCAGGAAGGCCAAGGTTGAACCAGGATGAAGCTTTGTGGTCAGCAGCAGCTTCTGAGCTTGTTTCACAGAAAAAAGCTTCTTTGAGAGCAGGGAATCAAAAGTTAGGAGAGAAAAATGTCCCAAAGCAATGGGGAAGCCTAAAGGGAGTGGATGTGACCCTAATGAGAGTGCTAATGCTGTGGCTGTGCTACTGACAAGTGAAGTAATTGCTGCTCAGGAGGAACCTGAGCCAGCAGAAAACAGTATTCCACCCAGGCGCCAAGAAAAGCAATTAGAACCAGTAAACACCAGTGGCTGACTAAAACCAGGCCCTTAATTAATAGTTTCATCTGAAGAGTCAGGAAATCATTAAGTACTATTGCTGTCTATTAATTCCCTGCAAGATGAACAACAATAAAGAGTTTTAAGATTTCTTTCACCATATAGCATGTGCAGGAAGGAGTGACTGAGGCCTTGCATGAGGTGGGAGAACTTGCTTTGTGTAGCTGAGCTCTCCCACGTCACGGACAACTGCCCCAGAGGCCCGGGATATGCTGCAGAATAAACAGCTCAGGCTGAGCATCTAGGTAGGACGTGGCTTTGGGGGTGCTCCCTCAGGGCAGGAGAGAAGGTGGGTGGAAAATGTGACTTCAGTGAAAAGCTGTGCAACTGAATCACTGTGCTGGAGAGCTCAGGGAAGGTATGTGGAGCTGGGGGTTTGGAAGACAAATACTGCATGAGACTGTACAGATCCAGCACTGAAGCATGGAGAAGTGTCGGGCTCTTCTGTCCAGCTCAGAGTGCTATAAAAATATCAGTTGGAGGAAGAAGGAGGGGCAGGTACCAGAACTAGGCAGTGCAGACAGGGAGATAAAACTTCTCGCTGTATGAGCAGTGGTGGTGTATTGTTAGACTTCAGAAAATGTTCACAAATGCTCAGTAACCAGGAGTGTTAAGGAGTGGCCTTTACAAAGGGCACAGCCTTGGTTCTAAGTCTGGATTAAGACAAAGATTTGTCATCCCAACCCAAGTCATCCACCTACTCTTCCCTGAATTTCGGAAGGGCCGCAAATCTCTTCCCAATCTTATTTTTCAATTTGTTCTGTCATTTTTATCTGACGTGGGCACTTCTGCTGCATTGATGTAATGAGCAGCTTGTGGTAGAGAATGGTAGTGTTTGGTTTTCTCATGGTGTTAGACAGTACATCGCTGACACGCCTGCCAGCAGGGACTGGTGCTCCTCCTTTCTCAGGGCTGGTCGCTGTGCTTGACACAGAAACCAGTGCAGCCTTGCTGTAAGGCACGTCGCTGTTCACACATTGTGCCTTCCCCAGCTATCTGCCTGGATACTCAAGAGTTAATCTCTGCAGTTTAAAGCTGACCTAGTATCTTCTCCTTAAAAAGAGGAATGTGAAGTCATTAGAAGCTCAGTTGTATTTCTGGAGCAAGCAGGAAGCTCTTCCAGCGTGTCAAACATCTATGGAAGAACCTTTCTTCTGCACTGTCAAATCTGTGACAGCTCAAGGAGCTTCCCTTTAAGATAACCTACCCTCTATTCACATCCAGACAGTTGGAGTAAGGTAGGGGATTTATCCGAGTCCTGCTTTCTTCTCTTCTGTCAAATGCAACTCAACAGGCTCTTCTAAGCAGGCTGATTTCTTTCAAAACCTGCCGTGTGCCATTCAGCCCCATGAAGGAGGTTCACTGCCTTGTTGCCATGGTAGCCTTTCTCTAAAGAGGAAGAGAATAGTTAATTATGCAATTTAAGAAACTAAGGAGGAACGACAGAAAGAGAAATAACAGAAAGGAAGATTCTGGGTTTGTGATAGAACCGCTGGCTGCACCAAAATACAGTCTGTTTACAGGTGACATATTTGCCCAGCATATGCTGTGTAGGGCCAGGGCTTCTCTGGCCGTGTGGATTTCAAGGAGCTGCCCTTTACTAGGCAGGTGCCTCTGCCATCCAGGAAATCAATCCTGTAGTCAGTTACTGCTGTCATCTTCCCTGGTTAATGCTCCAGAGAGCCTCAAACATATTTGCTTGACAGAAATTCTCTCTGAATGGAGCTGGGACAGCAATAATACATCACAGATCCATGACAAGCTCATGCTGCCTGTGGATATACAGAGGTACAGTTCAAGACTTAAGTGTTTTAAAGCTCCTTGGCAGCATTTCATTGTTCCTCAGGCCTACTCACCCCCTGCCTGCTTTACCCAGGACCCCAGAAAATCCAGTTTGTAGTGCACGAGGTGGGACTAAAGAGATGGCAAGCATTGAAACTGGCAAGATCCCAGCCCCTTTAGAAGGATTGCATTTTCCATTTGCCAATAGCGCTGCCAGGCCAGCTCCAGCTTGGGAGAAACAAAGCACTGCAACAGATCCTTGCCAAAAACGGATCCAGACTCCAGTGCTCCATGCTGTGCGAGGAGGGGGAGCTGCCTCTTGCCCAGCACACTAAGCTCTGCAAGCCAGGGGGAAGGGGAAGCGTTACCCCCGTGCCTTGTTTCCAAAGGTATGCAGTGAGAGGAAGAGAGAAGGAAGATGACGTGACCCCATGTGGTTGTTTACTACAGATGACTAGAAGGAGATTTAGACCTCAAGCTCCCCTTCCTCCTAACAAGGGCATAACAACACTGAGGGCTAGACAAGAGCCACATATGGTGGTAAGAGGAAGAAAGCAGTCGAGAGGCAATAATGACCCAAAATACTTCTGGGAACGCAGCAGGAACGGCTGTCAAAACACCAACATTTTAATCAACAAACTCTGTACATGAGAAGCTTCCCGCTAAGGGAGTGCACGGACTCCTGCTTTTACCACCAGCTTCTACCACCTGGGTGTTTAAGGCCCAGGATGGTCTCACTTCTTCAAGCTTCCCCCAGCAAGTATTTCCATGGAGGGTGGCTTTTCAGAATCTGTCACAGGAGCAACATTCAACCGAGTCCCTGTTGTATGAACCGATGTTGGAAGTTGTGTGTCTCTTCTGACTCCCCTCTCACATGCGCCTGGCTTTCCGCGGGCGGCAGCCGTTGTGTGGAACTGGGGTGTTGTCGGTGATGGAGATGATCTCCAAACCTCCCATGGTCAAACCCTTGATGGCAGCCTGGAAGAACAAGACGGCAGATGTCACACTGTTATGAACACATTGAACAACAGAGGAGGGGGAAAAAGCTCAGGGGAAAACAGTTTGATCTCCCATCCAAAAATGAACTTATTCCAATGGTTCTACTTTGTAATTATCTTAAGTAATTTGTACCAGAAAACCCAGTTTAAACCTGTCTGATCCAGTCCTCTCATCAGTGTGCCCAGCAATCTTCCTACTTTAGTTGGAAAAAAAAGTCCCAAATACAGCTTCTATTCTGCTGTATTATTCTAATGATTCTAAAACTTCATTACTAGGCACTTGAGTGATGAATTCTTTACATCACCTTCAGAAAAAACAAGTTAACAGGTATGGTCACTAGAGCAGCCTGGATTTAAAAAACTTGGATGACACCTGAGAAAGAAAAATATGAGAAGAAACTCTGACACCTACTTTGCGTCCTGGTCCCAGTCCTTTCACCATGACTCGTACGTGCAAGACGCCCTTCCCACGTGCTTTCTGTGAAAAGAGTGACTGGTGAGTGTTCTCTTTGATTGAACTACTGCTGCTCTGGCTCTCCTGGAGTCTTTCATCCCCTTTTGACCCACTATCACAATATTCTTCCAAGTAGAAACAAAGAGTAGGTAGTAATGGATACAGGAGACAAACATGGGGATTATTGTGCAAAGACACTAGGAGGAAAGGTCTGGATACAGCCACGGTGGTTTCAGGAGAACGTCTGTGCCAGGCTGTTAACTCTGCACACAGAGAAAGCTTTATGATCAAACCATCTGTGACCTAAAGCCAGGGCAGAAAATGACACATCCATGGATACATGACTGAACTGGCAAGGAACTAACAAGGGCTAACTCAAAGCTGTCTTCCCCTTCTCTGATGCAGTGACTTCTCTCCTGTGATCAGTGGATTCCTTCTAGAGGGTAAATGAGAAAAGCAGACAAGCTTTATATTTGCTGTGCAGGAGTCCAAACCTTCAGTGCAAAAATTCTACGGGCTTGCAAATTGAAAATGAAAACCACCTGCTGCAGAGCATAGCGGTGCTGCCACCACGTGGATGGAGCTCCTCTGGGCCTCTCGCTCTCTGAGTTCTGATGCAATTAATGTACTAACAACTTTAACAGTTACAGAATAAATCTGGCCAAGCACAGCTACGCAGCTATTATGAGGCTCCCATGAGCACAGATTAATAGTGGAGATGATCTTCTGTTCCTCTGAGTCAACCACCATAAGCTGCTGGCCAGCAGTGGCACCAAACACCTCCGACATGAAAGGCTGGAGCGAGTTCCACCTAATTTAGGATGAGGATTTTCAGTTTAACCTTGCCTCATTCTGCTGTAATGAGGACCATGACACAGCCAGTCTCATCTTCTCCTGCCACCTGGACACCTACATGTGGGTTTTGGTTTTTTTTTAGGAACAATTACAGTAAACTGTATGGAGCTGGAAACTCCATGTGCATCACTTTCTCTGACTGGAACTGCTGGCAGCAGCTCAGTTCTCCTGTGGCACAGAGGAAATATAAAACATTCAGCCAGTAATTACAGCCACTTCTCAGTTCCCCACAGTGCAAAAATTGAACTGCTGCTGATTCAGGGGCTACATTTCCACAATGCCTGGCAGATAGGTAGAAAAAAGGAGCTATGCAAACTGGAGCTAGGAAAGGATAGGCTCCACGTTCACATTTCCCAGTCACAGCTAAGCTGACCCTCTGAGCACTTTCAGCTGCTGTTTTGAACACACTTTGTCTGTGTGAAGGTGCACAGCGTGTCAGATGAAGCCAGGGAAACTGTCAGTGCACAGCAGTGTGCTGCTGGAGCGCTAAGGAACAGAGCTCAGGACTGCTGCTGACCAGTGAGGTGTGTACCCAAGGCAGTGGGGGGGATGCTGTCCCTCTGGGAGGGTGACAGTGATCAGTGTGGACTCACCACTGCTGCTGCCATGGCTGCAGTCTGTGCCGCGATGGCAGTCCCCTTCTTGGCGTTCTGGAAGCCTTCTGTGCCACAGGAGGTTCGGGCAAAGGGCCTGTTGTCAAAGCTGACCACGTGGACGTGGGTGCTACAGAAAGAGAGGGGCAAAAGAAAGAAACAAGCTAGAACACAGCTTCGTTCTCCAGTTTCTTCTCACTCAGCTTACTGGCACAGCACACCACAGAACTCCCATCTCCCTTCTCTAAGCTAAAATCTGCACCTAAAAATCTAAAGTCTCACCCTAAATCTGCACTCTCTTTTGAGGTATCCCACTGACACAAGCAGAGACCTCCCCGCAGTGACCTTCTAGATGACCCTAGAGAATCTGAGTGAGGTGGCAGAGCCTTTCTGGATAAGATATGCTTTATCCAGGAATACCTCAGATACCGCTCAGCCTTCTCACTGTGAGCATTTTAATTCTTCTGTTTATTAAAAAAACTCTATAAAACATTTATACAACTTGAAAGAGCTTTAAGAAACAGTAAAATATCACATTAGGGATCACTAGTGAAACACAACAATCTCTCACAGAGACCATGACAATTTTTTCAACAGCTGTACAGCAATAGTGCTAGAGCAGAGGGCTGGAAGTTACCTGCCATGAAAGCCAAATGAAACACAACAATCTCTCATGGAGAACATGACAGTTTTTTCAACAGCTGTACAGCAACAGTGCTAGAGCGGAGGGCTGGAAGTTACCTGCCATGAAAGCCATCAGCATCTAATTATTCATATCAGAACGTTGTCAAAATGTGTAGTAACAATCTCACTGCTGTTAAAGATGCTATAAGGACAGTTATGCTTCCTGAACAGCACTGAGGTTTGGATTCAGTATTATCTTCCCAGTCATGAACACCACTCCTCTGACTTTTTTTCCTTTGAGCC